TAGAAGAAAAAAACTTGTCAAACTTAGATTTCAAAAACGCTATTTTATCGAAAAATTTTCTAGTACAGAAATCTTTATTGCAATGATTAATAAAAACAAGCTTTTTTTTCTCATTTATCTGAATTAAGCTTAATTTCTTACCAAGCTCAAGGAAGCAATTAATATGAATTATTTTAAGAAGGTCGAGATATTAAATTCTTTTGCCAGAACCGGGAGGTATATAAATGCTCCCTAGAGCTTTATTGCCTTGAAAAAATATAATTCGGCAATCTGAAACGATTATAATTTTTTTCTATTCCAACCCATTAGTATCGGTGCGCATAATAAATTTTGGAATTTAATTTCTTCTATCATAACGCGCATTTCGCAATAAAACGACAAAATTATTGCCCGAAAGGCAATTTCTATCCGTGCAAATACCATTTTTCAAATGAAAATACTAGTATCTGCGCTAATTTTAATGGAAAGGCTTCAAAGTGTTTATTTGGAATTAGAATGGTGTTTGTTCTGGTTGTTTAATCAATAATTGAAATGACCCTATTCGCACACGATCGAAGTGGACATCTTTCGAACCATTATCGTTTTTGTTCCATTCCAAACCTATGTACTGCATTTTTGTGTGCGCTTTTTCTCGTTTTATGTTGAGCGATTAATTTTTTTTTTTTTCGACTTACACTCACAAAGAAGTTGCACTTCAAAAATATACATCCTACTTTAAAAGGTTTAATACTCAATATGCAGCAGACTTTATATTTTATTCAGAATAAGGAAAATTCATTCACGCAAGGCAAATCCTATGCATTCCAAGCGACGCCCCGGAAAGTGTAATATTTCCACAACAATAAAATGTAATTCTCCAGACACTGGCAGTGATTTTATATTGTCTCTGTTCAAAATGTATTGCCACGCTCTCTACTTCGCTAAAAGCATATTGCGGTACTTTGAGCGGAATTCTCTGATTTCACCGGGAATGTGAGAAACCTAGATATTATCCAGGATATTATTTAGTGGGCTATATAAAATTTAAATGTATACAATTTATATAGAGGAAAGTTTCTCTATTCTATATCCAGCAACAGTTTGTTTAACATTGTGTGCGTACTCATTTTTGTCAATTCGCCAAAACACATTTTTGAAGACATGATTTAAGACTTGAATTACCTTTATCCATACTTCGGTTCTTGGAATTTGCCTCGCTGCTGCAGATTTATTATGTTCCGCTCTAATTAATAATGAATTGACGACCCCCTTTTTTATCATTTGACCGTGGTTTGATTTGAATTTCAGATATAGTCCTTTGTCGGTGGGTTTCCTGTAGTGTAGGCGGTCGTATCGATCTATCTGCCGTTTCTTGTTGTAAGTACATGGTAAACTGCCTTTTGTTTCATTTTCCATTCGAACCGGTTTTCTTTTTTTTAATGTTTTATTGCTGTTGGAATCCCTTTTTTTCATTGCTTAAAAAGAGGCCTATAATATGCTCAGCTTACTCAGTGGATAATTAGATGTAGGTCAATAGTGTGTACAGGGTGTTTTTTTATATATTCATACAGGTAGAAGAAAAGGTGTAAATACAAAAGTTATACAGTTTTGGCTAAATTTTTAGAATCGATGGTCAGAAACAAAAATTGAATGTCAAAAATGTGAAATTTTGCATGCTTTCAGCTTTTTTCAAATGGAATGCCTTATATTCGCTTCTATATTCATGAAGAGCATAATGCCCTGATTCCAAAAATATATAGTTTGTGTATATTTGGTTGAGCAATCTTTTATATATTCGGTTCCAAAAATTGTAAAAATACTATCCTATTACTGTTTTGTGAACCATTCTACCTTCAGAAGGTGAAAGCTGCAGGTAAAATTTGAGCTACTTGGTTTCTCTACATACATCCAGGCTTTTGATACTGTGTTTGGAAATTTTCCAACCAGATTGTTGATAGCTATTTCTATCAGTCTTTGAACCAAACTTTAGCGAAAATATCAGATACTGCGGGTTTTCTTGGAGGTGATCTTCTTTGTCCAATAAGGTGAGATCATGCACTCTTCTTCCAGAGTATAATCATAAAAGCGTGGTTAAATGCCGAGATACTTGAAAAATACTGGATGGATCAGCAGAATTTTCACTTAACCATTATATTAGGAGTTGGATATCCCATATGGATTTTCTATGTACAGGTTTTTGAATACTTATTGCTTTTAACATATGCTTGATTACAGGATGTGAGCTTGGATATTCTCCTTTTAGTGGGTTCGCAAAAGTTGCTATCAGAGATTTGTGTACTAAAAAAGTGCTATACTTATGATATTTTCAGATTCCAATGCAAATAGCTTAAAAGCACTGCTACCTCTTGTGCTTCCGGATTATGAACAGATATATTCTTTGATTTTGCTTATTGTACTCATCGTTTCCACGGAGCTTGATAAGTTTTTAATGTTCTCTCTCCAGGCAGACTGTATTAGCTTTCACATCTTTCGAATCTCAACCCATTACTTGAGTGAGCCACCCTGAATCTTCCATGCCTCCAAAAACATTTCTTTCACTAGTGGTGATGGCTGCTCCGTCTGCATGTCCACGAAATGATCTTGTAGATCTGGGATCTGATAAGGTGGAACAAATGCGCAATTTATCAGATCTGGTCGTCAAAATACCTTGAGCCACTTGGGGCAATCATTATGAAATTCCCTTTTGCTTTGTTCGGATGTTGCAACACGCGCGTTAATGGAGGCGGTGGGCATATCCAAGCTAGTTTGTAGTTCTAATCTTGGCTGAATGCGTCTACAAACAGCGCATGTGGGTCTCTCATTGATTGAGTTACGTAAATCGGAACTACCGCTGATTGAGTTGTTGCGAAGAGATCTATGACAGAAGTCCCCCACATCAGGAAAATTTTCGTCGTTATTATCTTGGACAAATACCAATTCGGAACTGATTTGTTTCTAGAGAGACTGTCCACAATTGAGTTGTACATCCCTGGAATATATTTTGCTTTCAGGGTTACATTGTTTTGATGAGTCAACAGTAATAGTCTCTTGGTTTCCCTTAGTAAAGCCACGGATTTTGTTCCCCCTTCCTTGTTTATGTATGACATTACACTCTTGTTGTCTGATTGTACTAAGACAGACTTGTCCTTTTACATTTTGATATTTTCTTGTACCTATTGTTTTCCAAACTACAAACATGTCTTTCTGGTTTATGTGCCATTTTCTTTGATTTCCTAACCAGAATCCTCTTAAGTAAACATTTTCCAGTTGTGGACACTGTGGTAATTAAAATTTATAGATTCTGAAGAAAAATTCGAGAGTGCTGAGTCATCGCTGTTTTTCACCATTCTAGTAGGTCTTAGATTATGGAGTTTTTTATTTTGAATTGCTTCTCTGGAGTTCGTGTGGGTGAATAATGACTTTATCTTTGCATTTTTCGAGAGCGCAAAGGTCCCAAAGGCACCACGAAGGACACAAAGTTTAGCTCTCCTAGAAGTGATTTTGCCTGGATCCAATTCCATCTCATTGACTTTGTAAGGTTCTCTTTGGTATGCTGTAGCTTCTCTCTTTTCTCTCTGAAATACATTTCAGATTTTGAGTTGGATTCCAAATTATTTCCAAAAATTCCATTTCCTAACTTGGTATGATATAGGATTTCTTGAAGTTTACGTTCCATCTAGATAATGTAGAAAATCTATTGCTTCCTTTCGTTGTGGTGGTAAATTATTGGACGATTGATTTTCTAAGGAAAAACGTCTAAATATATAAGAATCCGAATTCCTTTCTTTCTTAGGTACTCTGCTATCCAATTTGTTAAACTGGAGAACGTTTGAGGAGCAGTTGAAAGTCCGAACGGGAGACAAGTTATATTGTATACTCTCTTTTTGTAAGTGAATGCAAGGAACCTCTGGTGGCTTTTTTTTTATTGGAATGTGGAAATATGCCTGGGATAAGTCTATTTTTATGAAAAAGTCATCTTTTTGTAAAAAGTCTGACACCTTGTAGTGACTCACTAGTCGAAAATTCTTAATTTTTTGGGTAAACTCGTTCAGTCTTTTCAAGTTGAGAATTGATTGAGAACTCATTTTCCGGAGGTTTTTCATGATGAAGAAACTTAGAGGAGGTCTTTCTTTAACCTTCCAGCGAGCGCGCTGTCATAAAATTTACGACAAATGCGCATTATCGCTTCCCCCACTTTTGCCACTTAGTCGCACGCATCGAGCTTTGAGCTATTCTAGGGTCAGTGTCTCTCTAAACCACAGACGTTATTGGGTGTTCTAAGAAGTTTTTGTAACTTAGTGATATTTGGGAATTTCCGTAGAGCGTACATTTCACGACATGCGCCTTAGTGTAAGTAGGTATATTACGTATCCTACTTTTTTCTATTTTTTTTTTCTCGTTTATGTCGTTTCTTTTATAGCTAAATATATGTTTTTCTTTTACACGTGTTCCATTATAGCTCGTAGGCCGCTTACACAAAAGGAAGTAGGAGAAGTTGATGAAGATTTATATGATGAGCCAGAGCAAGATGGTGATACTTACATTCCATGTGAGAGTTGTTTTATTCAAGAAAGTCAAATATATGTTTTCAAAAGTGCTGTCATTGTCGTTTTCAATAACCTTTCATCAATTCCCCAGTATTTATGAAAAGAAAACACCTCGAAAACACCATTTACATGGAGAAAAAATGATGACGTAAAATTTACGACAAGCGCCGGCTCAAGTGAAATGACACAGCGCGCCCGCTGGAAGGTTAAAGGGGATGGTGTAACCTTTTATAATCTTTAATAACATTTCTGGGGCTGCTGCCCACTCTGCTACGAAATTTTGCAGCTGCCCTTGAAAAGACTTCTTCTGAACAAAATTGTCAAACAAGATGATGTCTAGCCTTTTTTCGGTATTAGACGTTCCACTCTTCTTGTACGTGCTAGAAACATTTTGTTTCCTGTCGTTTTTAGACTTCGGTTTGAATGTTCCTTTTCTTTTTCTAGTATCATTTTGACGATTTTCCTCTTTTGAACTCAGTAATTACTCAAACTGTTATCATAATCGTGAGATGATAGCGGTTTCTTATTGTATCTAAAGATTGATCGGGTAGTATTGTCTTGATGAGTATACAACTCCTTAATTTGATTCTCATCAAATAAAAAAGATCCTGAAAGCGGAATATCCCTCAATATTTTAGCATTTTCAGTTGGTGGTTCATACAATCTCCTGCGACTTTCTATAATTTCTGCTCTTTTACCACAAACATACTGTAACAAATCATCCGATACAATCCTTAAATCTGAGCTTGAATCTCCAAATTTTTTCTTCAAATGATTCGCCAAGTTCGGATATTTTGCCGCCAGTTCTGAAATATTATCTTGGGCTGCTTTTCTCTGCATTATCAAGGTAGCATCAATTTTTTTTAAAAAATCGCTCGTACACTTAATTTGATTTTCAAAGGGAGAAGTTTTCTGCAATCATTTTTGACATTTCAACTTTAACCCTCTAGTTGTTTTTTTGTATGACGTCTATTTTCGTGCAATTTATTAAAAATTTTAAGTAGAACAGTAATACAAATGATAGGTTATAAAGCGGGTAGTAGAGTGAAATAGATACAAAGATAATGGTAAATCTCTATACAGGCCTTAACTTTCATGGGAAATATTGAGGGACGGTAACAGATCACGTTTTGTTATTCAGTGCCGGATGTTGGATAAAAACGAGCTCTCGGAGATAAATAAAAAAAACCTACTTACTACAAGGGCCGGGGGTACCATAATCACTATTCAGTCCTAAATCAAAGGAAAATCACGAGACTTTTTGAATGTATTCTTCCGGTACTCGACTGAACATTGCCTTTCGCAATTTAATTTCGATCAAAGGTTGCTTGATGGCCGATAAAATACTTGATACGATAACAGTCAAAATTTGAGACTCGAACGATAGTAAGATATAGACTAAATCAGGATAGAAAGTGAAGTTGACAGTTCGCGTTGACATTTTTAGTAAACTTTTTCTTTAGGTTGTCAGCATGTGTTAGCGCTTCGATTCCGTCAGCTGGGATAAACGACAGGGTCGTATTTAGAAATGTGATATACATTTCAGAATAAAAATGTATTTTCAATTTCTTTAAAGGAAGTTAAGTTATTAAAATCCAAAAATCCGAAAATTAGAGTCCAAAGTAAACACTAAAACAGATAAAAAGAGTAAACACTTAAATCCAAACTAAAACCAGGTTTGAAACGCAACACCGAAACACAAAGGCACAGAACACTACAGAAAAAAACAAAAAACAGATTGCGATAATAACAAATAAAAAAATAATGCAAAAAACTGAACGATTTTACACAAAAATTCGAAATTCAAAATTTAAAGACCCGAATCTGATATTTTTATGTGTCAAATCAAAATGTCATGTATTATTTGATAGTTGTCAGAAAAAGGGACAGATCTGGGGATTTTATTTATTTTCAACTGGTGAAAATAACGGTCAAAATTCAAACTCTATCGTGAATACGACTATAGCTATCATTACGACACCTCGGGCCAAGTCGAACAGCAAAAATTGATTAACCATGGTTGTTCATTGCTGAACAAGCAGAGCTTCCCCTTGATAGGGACAACAGAAAGTGTTGGTACCAACTGGTAATTCAAAGTTGAAGAAAAGCATGCCCTCTAGGTCAATAAGGAACAATTGAATTTATAAAATATTATTTTAGACTGTGATATATTTTGGCAACGAGTGGTAATGATGATCCCATGGGAAGTCAATCTATTTGTGAGAAAAATTGTTCTTGCTCTTAAAAGTATGAGTTTTCCAGGCGACATTTTCATCAGATCTGTGCTCAGTGTATGCTCTCTCAAGTTTTTTTTTTTTTTTAATTATGTTTGCATGATGATAATGTGCATGATGATTATTGCTTCAAATTTTTAAATGCCCTACCCCAAAATATTAGTGTCCATTTATCCAAATTGGAACATTTAATTTTATATTTTTACCATACTGTACATATAAGAGTTAATTAATTATAAGCAACCTACTTTTCATTATTGCAAATGACGATCATCGATATGTGCAAAATCAGTATTTATTGTATATAAATGGCGATCAATTTCATTAATAAAATCAGATTCAAACTTGTTGTTTCTCTTACTTAAATTGTGCCCAAGTCACCATTGGCCTAGCAACGCTAGTAGAGTCGTGAGACTGCGCTCTAACAATTACTTTTGCTTTAGCCTTATTGTAGCAGGTGCTCTGTCTGGTTACATTCGGCCCTTATTTAAACCTGTAGCAAGTGCTTTGTCTGGTTACAGGTATTAATTTAACCCTTATAGCAAGTGCTTTGTCTAGCTTATGCCTTCTTTCCAACTTACAATAAGTGCTTTAGTATGGTTGTGCCTACCTATCTTACGCCCTAGTGCAAGTGCCGTGACTTTAAGTCCTGTCTGGTACTAAGGCCCTTCTGCTCTTCTATCCTAAACCATTAGGATCAAGCAGAAAATACCATCCAGAGAACCATAGTCTCCTTGAGTGTACATGGTCCTTCGAGCAAAAAGTTACAACGGTCAAGGATCAGCAGCCTGCAACAGCAGCCAATCAGATTCTCAGAGTTCCCACCAGTAGCGATCCACAGGTCTATCAACCAGAGTCCCAGAGATCCCACCAACATCGGTCCCAGAGGTCCAACCAAACCAAGCAGCCATCAACCAGAGTCCTAGAGGTTCCACCAGTAGCGAGCCAGAGGTCCATCAACCAGAGTCCCAAAGGTCCCACCAGCAGTGGTCCTAGAGGTCCAACCAAACCAAGCAGCCATACACAGGTCCATCAACCAGAGTCCCAGAGGTCCACCAACAGCGGGCCCAGAGGTCCAACCAAACCAAACAGCCATCAGGCAGAGTCCTAGAGGTCCCACCAGCAGCGATCCACAGGTCCAATCAACCACAGTACCAGAGGTCTCACCAACGGCGGTCTCAGAAGTTCAACCAGGCCCAACAGCGGTCAGCCACATTCCCAGAAGTCTCACCAATAGCGGTTCCAGAAGTCCAACTAAACCCATTGCAAGATCAACAGAACAATGGCAGAAGCAATGAACTTACGTGCTGCTCAGCAAGAAGAACTAGGCAAAAAGATCATGCAGCTTTACACCAACTGTAAAAAAGATTGCCAATCAAGAAAAACTGAACAGTATGTAGAAGAAAAACTTGGGGCACTAGAAGAACTATGGGATGCAGTTCAAGAAAATGATCATGAACTAAACAAGTTCAATGAACCAAACCACGCCTACTTTAGAATGGTTATCACCTATAGTTATCAAATCAAAAGTACTCATACAAGACTTATGGCTAGAACGATTAGGATGGGATGAGAAAATAGAAGGTGAACTAGCAGACAGATGGATAACCTTTAGAAAGGACATAAATAAAGTCGAAGATATCAGAATTCCTGGATGGATGCAATTTAGCCAAGGAAACCTAATTCAACTCCACGGATTCTATGACGCCTCTAAAAAGGCCTATGGAGCTGTGATCTACAGCCGAATAATGGTGACTAAAGAGAACATAGTTGTCACACTTCTCTGGGCAAAATCAAAAGTAGCCCCAATGAAAGTAAGAAGAACGTTACCGAGACTTGAACTCTGTGCAGCACACTTATTAGCGAAAATGATAAATCAAACTATTTCGACACTAGAGATAGAAAATATAAAAACTTTCGCATGGAGTGACTCCATGATAACATTAGGCTGGATAAAAGGCCAGCCCAATCGATGGTAAACATTTGTTGCCAATCGCGTGAGTGATATAAATAGATACGTAGACAGCAGTCACTGGAACCACGTAAGAACATCCGAAAATCCAGCAGACGTTATATCCAGAGGGTCTAATCCAGAACAATTAACAAACAATCTCCTGTGGTGGAATGGACCAGCATGGCTTCATAGTCATGAACCACTACCATTAGCTAAAGAACTACCCGAAACGGACCAAGAAGCTAAGAAAACCATAAAATGTTTCCAGGTTAAAACACAAATCACAGAAAACATAATCGAGCGATTCTCCGACTTAACCAGAATGATAAAAATATTAAGCTACTGTCGAAGAGTTTTCCACAGGTCCAACGAACCAATATTATTTGTCGAAGAAACAAGAAAAACCATCCAAAACTGCGAATTTCCATCTGAGATATCGTCCATTAACACAAAGAAAAACGTGGAGAAATCAAGCAAAATATGCAACCTGAGCCCATTTATCGACGGGGAACAAATCCTACGGAAGATTACAAAATTCAGAGTTACCATACAGTCAGAAACATCCTACCAAGTCAAAATCATTTGAGCAAACTAATAATAATGGACGCACATCACAAAACCCTGCATGGTGGAAACCAAGCAACACTGGCTTACCTCTGAAGAAAATACTGGATTATTAATGGGAAGCATCTTGAGTAAATGTATTACATGCATCAGCTACAAATCAAAAACCGCAGAACAGCAAATGGGCCAATTACCTGCCACGAGGGTCACACCATCCCCGCCGTTCATTAACAGTGGAGTAGACTATGCCGGCCCTATCAAAATCAGAGCTACTAAAGGAAGAGGTCACAAGTCATATAAGGGCTATATCTCAATTTTTGTATGTCTTTCCACTAAGGCAATACACCTAGAAGTGGTAAGCGATATGACGACCGATTCGTTCTTAGCAGCCTCCCGGAGATTTTCTGCGAGAAGAGGTTATTGCGCAAATATTTACAGTGATAATTGAACATATTTTGTTGGGGCAGCACATTATTTTGAAGAAGAAGTTCTCAAATTAACTCAACACCAATTCCTGCAAAATACAATGGCCAACCTTGGCACTAACTGGCACCTCATCCCACCGGCGGCACCTCATTTTGGTGGACCGTGGGAAGCTGGAGTCAAGTCAATGAAACATCACCTTAAACGAGTAATTGGAGAAACAACCCTCACGTGTGAAGAACTTACAACTTTGTTACACCAAATCGAAGCAAGCCTCAATTCTAGGCCGTTATGGCCACTCTCTGACGAAGTAGACGACTATTTTCTCCTAACTCCTGGTCATTTTTTAATTGGAAGGGGAATATTGTCTCCGATTGACCCAATAGCAAGTAATATAAATTCCAGTTTGTCAGAGAAATGGAGGCTTACCCAAAAAATGAAAAAGGACTTCTGGAAAGTTTGGAACACAGAATATTTAGGAAGATTGTGGGTATTGTGGGTATTCAAGAATACGACCTCTTAGCTCCCGGGAGCGAAAGTGAACTCGCTTTCCTGGGAAAGTTCCCAGGAACACTCCCTTCCCGGGCAGTCAAGAACACGGGGCCAGATGTTATAAGAGACATTAATATCGATGACAACTGTATTATTGATGAAATATACCATCAGTCTGAAGCCAAGAAATGCAAAACTTTCACAAATTCAGTGCAGGCCACGATATGGAAACAAATGGCCACACCAAATACATGGTTATTTATTACGAATGGATTAGCCAATATAGCTATTATTTGTGGTGGAGTCCGGGAAGATGTTGACATTATTGCAACAGGAATTCTCAGCTTGGCTCCCGACTGTATCAGCAACGCTAGTAGAGTCGTGAGACTGCGCTCTAACAATTACTTTTGCTTAAGCCTTATTGTAGCAGGTGCTCTGTCTGGTTACATTGGGCCCTTATTTAAACCTGTAGCAAGTGGTTTGTCTGGTTACAGGTTTCAATTTAACCCTTATAGCAAGTGCTTTATCTGGCTGGGGTCTTCTTTCCAACTTACAACAAGTGCTTTAGTTTGGTTGTAAGTTACCTATCTTACGCCCTAGTGCAAGTACCGTGACTTTAAGTCCTGTCTGGTACTAAGGCCCTTCTGCTCTTCTATCCTAATTTAGGATCAAGCAGAAAATACCATTTAGAGAACCAGAGTCTCCTGGAGCGTACAATTAGGGAACTTCCCTACAATGTCTTTCATAAATGAAGGTTAAGGAGATTCTTCTAAAGAACAGTTTTTATTCACTCTCTGAATTTCTAGAGTTTAAAAATTTGTATTGTCAATATGTGTTTTTAGCTTTTTTTATTATTAAGTAAGACGAATGACTAGATTTAGGTTTCATGTCACCTTAGTTTGTATCTATTTTAATTTTTGACGTGTGTTAACATTCCTGGTATTCTTTCGATCTGAAAAAACTGATTGTGATCACATGAGGTTTGTTCATGAGGCGTCAAAAAAACAGCTGGGGCCAATGAAATCGTTGTAACACTGGATGAAAATTGTTTGAAACAGACCTCAAGTGATTTCGATCAGTTTGTTCAGATCGAAAGAATACGCCTATTATTTGTACTGGCATGATTAATAAATGATTGATTGATTTATTGCGATATTGTGTTTTGTGTATAAAAAATGAATCAAATGGATTGAAATCCGGCAACTTTGTTAGCTATCTTAAGCGCCCCTCATTGACATTCCACGCTTCCAAATCGAGCGGAGTCTTATATCATACTACTCTTCTTTAGAATCCTATATGCATTCTTTGAGCCCCATGGGCTAAGATTGTGAAATTAGCATCGTTGAAATGCATCCTGTATGATTTATAGCAATTCGCACGTCTTATTTACCAAATTACGTGACCTAATCATATTGAATCATCCATAGATGTTGGTAGAGTTAATAATCTTATACAAAACGCAAAGATGCAAACTACCATTTTGTTGTCCTAGGAAGGCAAATTATAAATCTCAATCAATAGAAACCCATAAAAAAATCTTTATTGCATATATCCAGCAACACAAAGCAACAATTTGTCCGATATCATATTATTGTTCGCATTTTTCCAAGTTATACGCGTATTGTTTGCTTGTTCAAAGGCGACGAATTTTCCTACTTTTCCGAGATATTTTTCTCGTGTAAGCAACAAAAGATGGATAGCTTTCAATTTACAATTTATTATTGAAAGCGATGTAGGAAGGAGAAAATATTCCGTTTTTGAAAGACGAAATATTCAAACTCAGCTCGTGTAATTTGATACCTACTTTTTTGATATCGGATATGAGATTTATATTTTATTAAATGCTTATTTTCTCAACTTAATGTTCGTTAAATAACTTTCGTTCTGTATCTTATTACATTTTACAGCGTGTAAAGTTTAACTTTTCTTCAAATATTCTCCTGCTCACATGATCAAATTTCCAAGTTTCGGAATATTTACGCAAGTTCAGAGTTTGTACCAATTTTCGGGTTTCGAACATTGCTTAAAATAATTAAATTAATGCATTTATAAATAAGATGGATAAATTTTAACATCTGTGAGCTATGAATATTCCCCACAACGGTCAGGTTGATAATTGGCTAGTTTGATATCGATAAACTATTTTCAGAATTGATATAGTTTGTATCAGTTAGGCATTCTTAAGCAAAATGTAGGTACTCTTTAAACAAATTATACGTGCGGAGATTCAATTAATCAGACCGCAAAAGCAACTACATGAACTTCCATGCTGTGGTTTTCATTTTATCCTGTCTAATTCCGGAGATTTAGCAACATAAATCACATTTACCCGTGCAACAATGTTAGTATATAATTAAGCATAATTTTGTTTCACAGAAATGAACAACACAATTAACATGGACGCGGAGAACCGTGTAGTTCTGAACGTGGGAGGGATTCGGCACGAAACTTATAAGGCGACCTTGAAGAAAATTCCAGCAACTCGATTGTCTCGGCTCACCGAAGCTTTGGCTAATTACGATCCTGTATTGAATGAGTATTTTTTTGATAGGCATCCGGGGGTGTTTGCGCAAGTCCTAAATTATTACAGGTAAGATTTAGTTTCATTAGTTTACTCCTAAAATTTACTGCACACTTTATACCAAAATTATTGTAATTTTAGGACAGGCAAGCTGCATTATCCCTCGGATGTTTGCGGTCCTCTATTCGAAGAGGAACTTGAATTTTGGGGCCTTGACGCGAACCAAGTAGAGCCTTGCTGTTGGATGACTTATACTCAAGTAAGTATTGGAAAATGTATACACAGCCCTAACAAGCATCCTCTTCAATTGTATTTATTTAGTATTGTTCGTTTTCGTTCCTTATCCTTTTATCCTTTAAACCCCTTTAATTCCACGAGCTTTTCCTTCTAAGCATCAGCTAAGGACGATTGAGCATTTATATATAAGTCTCGGATTAGGTTTGCCTCCTTAATATAATTAGAAAAATAACATAATTACATAGGTTTATTTGGTGAAATTTTCTTATTTCACACACTGATTTAGGTAAAGAGTTTTCAAATTTCTTGGCAATTTATTTTACAAAGCATCACTCAAGGTTTTTCCCAATAAATCTTCAAACTACCTTGAAAGTTAAAGCCTGTCCATACACGAAAGCCAATCAATCTTTTTCCAAATAAGATAGTTACCGATGGATGGCTTCTGTTTATTTTCCGATACAAAGGTTAAATCGAGTTTCCTTATTATATGAAACTCCGTCGATGACGTCCTGATTTTGTAAATAACCGAGAAAGATGTTTGCTTAGAAAACAGAGTTTTTGTGTAGTTTTATATTATTTTTATCATAGTCAAACAATATTAAAGGTAGTTCACATACTCGACATTGTTCTTAAATATTCTAACTTGGTTAGGAAATCTATTCAGTGTTTGGAATCAATGCAAAATAATGTCTATGGATTGCAGCTTTTCAGTTAGGCTTCAATAGCTAATAATTCCTTATTTGAAATCAGAATCTCTAGATTTAGTTGAAGCTGGTTCAACAAGCAATGCATTAGCTCTTACGATCACTAGTTAAGAATAGAATAAAATGTACTTTAAAATAAATAGTTTCGGATTTAATGGAGTATGGAGGTTGAAATCGGTTACCTTACAAACACAGTAATTTATGTACTCTTCGTTAATGCCGCAAAGTGAAACCATTTATTTCTGCCTCTCTAATCCTTTGAATTTCTCTAGCAAACTCACAAAATTTAGCTTTGATGTAGACCTAGGCCAGCTTGGTTAACCGTTGGATTATGTTATTTGAAAAGCCAAATTCCAGTTGAGTTATATCCGCATTTATAGTCTTGTCGTTTATTTAAGAAAAAATCTTAACTAACTAGCAAGCTGGCCCCTTTTATAGCTGGAAGGCATATTTAATTTAATATAAATATATTTTTATTTTTCAGCACAGGGATACCCAAGAAACTTTAGCAGTCTTAGATAGGTTAGATATAGATACGGAAAAACCCAGTGACGAAGAAATAGCTAGGAAATTTGGATACGAAGATGATTATTTTAAAGGCAGTTTATCGTGGTGGCAGTTGATGAAACCGAAACTTTGGTCATTATTCGACGAGCCATATTCATCGACAGCTGCAAAAGTGAGTATGATAATTTGATTTAATACATTCGGGTTTCATCAGACACAGATTAGATTTAGTTGAACTTTGGAATTAACTGTTATAAAAAGAGGGAAATTATCAGTTATGAATTAATTGTACTGACTAATTGTGACAAATTTATATAACTCATTGTTAATGTTGGGGGTTCCTACAAGGTGAACACTTTTGCGACCTGATGATGCAATAAAATGGAAGGATTATTTCTACTCTCCAACTATTGGGTTTTCGGGGAATGCGGACATTTCCTGGCTCTCGCGCTCCTGTCGAAAGTGATGCTTGGAAAGTTTAATTCAAACCTTTCTGCTAACTTTGTTTCACGGCATCTGGTTGCCGCTCGGCTTGGTAATAAATTGTACCAAAAACCGTCAGCAACTTTGCGGCGATGAGAATGCTGATGACATCGCATGTGTAGGGTTTCGGATTTTTTTCCATTTTATTTCTGTTTTGTTCTAGCCGGGCTTGGACTATTTTCTAATTCTGGCTGTCAAATATTTCCAAATTTGGTTTCTCTTTGGTTAGTATGATCCAATTAGGTGCTAGCTGACGTCTCACACATAACCTCAATGACATGTTTGTCCCCCTATCGAAAGTCACGTTATGTCATTGGTGACAAGCTAGCGCCTGTGAGTTAAATGGACCTTTCAAACGCTTTGTTTGTCCCCTTAACGGAAGTCAGGTTATGTATGTGACTTCATCTAGTGCCTACAATTGCTCGATGTTTGGTACTTTTATATAATTTCCAATTTCTTCACTTTTCAATATCTGTCAATAGCTTGAGTTTATTTTAATTCCTTTAATTTCTAATCCACGTTACAATATCTCGGGTGTTACGAGACTTTCATTACGATTATACCGTTTCGGAAGAAAACCAGTGACCTACACCCTACACGACACTCAAGTATTGCTCCCCTGGACCCACGGTGAGAACATCCAAGGTAACGGGGTTTAAAGGCTATTTTGTTATTGCGGATTCATTTCTTCTTCTACCAAACTGAGCTATTGAAGGAAAAAACATCACGCAAAAGCGGGTTCAATTTATATTGCGACAATGTTTATATACTAAAGTCTCAAATTAGCTCTACATGTACTTACAATTTTTCCTCACTCTCACTAGATTATTCTAATAAAAAAATAAACCTTCCAATTACTTAGAGCATGAACATATTGTAGAACGAATTAAATTTTCTTCCTTTCACAACTTCTTTATTTTTTCAAATTTTTCACAGACAAAATTCGATTTTAAGCGCGAATTAAAATTGAAGTACGAGGCGTTGAAAACCAAAAAGAAACTCTTTGCGAATTTTATCTTCACTGGACGGGATGACCGTTCACTCTTCGACTTTCGACTCTAAACTATCTCGAATATGGAGAGCATGATAGACTGATAGACCATACACTAAACGTTAGATTCGATATTCTTTGACCGGTTCAGAAGTGGAAAATCTCCATAGAATCGTTTGATAATCTTGATGGTTAGGATGGACAACAAGTTGTCGAAACATCTTTGAGATAGCAATGGTTAAAACAAAGTTATGAAGTCCAAAATTGAGAAAAATATTAACTATATCATTTTGAAGTTTAGAGACAACATAGAGCTGCGAGTTGAGTGAAGATTAACTGGGTAGATGAGCTGAGCCGGTCCTGGAATGTAAAACTGGTCAGCAGCAAGCCGAATATTCGCAATATGAAACCAGCTCTCAGTGGACAGTTATGAAGGCAAATTTTATTGGGAATAAGGAAATCGGTTGTGAAAGTTGTATTAGATTATGGAAACGATAGCCAACATGAGTTCGGACTGGTGACTGCTCTCGTTATGTCAACCGAAGATGTCGCAATTTCCTTGATTATCGGGGTCAACGGATGTCGTAAAAATGTGAGGCTACATGTATCAAAGAATGCCGAACTCGTGTCGGCCACCGTTTCAACAACCTAATCCAGCTTCCACAACCTAATCCAGCTTCCACAACCGATTTCCTTATTGTCAATAAAATTGGCGACAATTTGCCTTCACATCAACTGTCCACTGAGAGTTGGTTTCATATTGCGAATATTCGGCTTGCTGATGACCAGTTTTACATTCCATTTATCTTCCCAATCAATCTTCACTCAACTCACAGCTCTATGTTGTCCGTCCACACAAGAGTCGAACTCTTTTGCATAAGTAGAAATTCGTTTAATAGAATAAGGTTTATAGTGGGGATAGAATGGACAGTCCCGTTATACGGGTCGGACAACCATTTGTGGCGCCATCTGTTGTCTATGAAATCAGCTCATTCCAATGTAGCAACTTGTTTGCTTCTTATTTTTTTTCAGATTTGCTTTTTATTTATTTTATAATAGACACAATTTAATACAAACTTACCAAATAACGGTTTATTACAAAGAAAGAAGAAAATTATGTTGGCTTTTCGAAACTTGTCAACAAAGTCAACACTTAACAATACAGAATTAAATAACAATAATAGTCTTTACACTAAACATAACACTGTAAAAGTTCACAAATACACACAGATAACGCTCTATCACTACGAAACACTTTTTCAACGAACAAAAATATTAAAGTAACAATAAGAAGCACAACGTTTTCCAGTTCATCGTTTTGTCATCATTTGTCATTTCATTAATTTATGTCGGTTTATGTCATAATTTAATTAGTAATCACGTCACCCTTCTTCTGAAGCGGAGATACCTTGGAGATACAATCAACAACGCGTACGCAAATCAATTGACAGCGCCTCTACCGGGCATGAAACAAGTTTATCATCGAACCAAGTGGTACATTTGAAGATCGCGGGGTATTTACCAGTAGCTATAGAAAAAATAAATAAATAAAACGTGTAGCCCCTTTATGTGCGAATGAAACCACTGAAATTCCAACAAGCAATAATTTTATTACTTGTTAATATTAAAAATGTAAGTACCTATTGAATTTATTTTGAAGTAATTATAAACATCTAGTTTTTCGGGGGAATCTGATACGGTATGTACCTTTCCAATCCAGAGCTCCTCAATGGATGTTGAGGTTTCACTTCCGTGAACTGGAGCTCTTCGTGTTATTTCCTGTATCCAGGAAAGACGATAGATTGCTGGTGTGACGTCACTCCAGCTGATTCAGACTCCAAATAGTGATGTTTTATGTAGAATAGGTACCCAGAAAAGAATAAAGCCGTATCAGGTTCACCAAGGTTTGGAATATAAAATTCCTGAATTCTGTTAGAATGCGAGTATCTTGCAGAGAAAAATTAATATGAAATTAGTTAAATATAAAACTAATGTTGTGCAGACACTCCTTTCCAACAGAAACAGGTATGAGCAACTATTGTGAATTGGAAAATTAATTTATATAAAAAAAAAAACAATTAAATAATTTAAAAAAAAATAATATAAAATATGTAAAATAAAATAAAAAAAATATAGGCAAAATCGAACAAGAGAAGAAAATTTGAATAAACCTCTAGATTTGTCCCAAATAGATAAATTTCAAGTTAAGATACCTTATTGGTGTTACAAGATAAAGCTGAGGGTGAAATGATTTAAATCCAAGGAACCGTCAAAATTCTTGAGATGTTTCAATCAATATTTTTTTAATGAATTTTTGACCTATCCGGATTTCTATCCTAAAACTTCACTCTTTCAGCAATCTGCTTCTTGAGAAGATAATAAGGGAGGCAAATAAAAAATAAATAGATAGATAGATGGACACACAAATTCGGTTTACACCCACTCTATTTAGAGAAAATAGTCCAATAATCCCACAATAACAATTGAATCTAAATATCAAAGTAGCAATCTCATTTATTAGCCAAACCTCTGAATTGACGCTCCTCAGAAAAATGTGGTATCACACAAAATGCAGGTTCACAATAGATAAAAAATATTAAAATATAATATTGATATTTTAAAGGTAGATAAGATAAGATCTATCAGGTAACAAAAACCCAACAGTGATATTAGACACTGATGGTGAAATAAATTGAAAAATATTTGGGGATGTTTTACACACGACTGTATTACTGTATTGGAAAAAAAATAAAACACGTGGAAATCGTTTGTTTTAAGTTTAAATACAATCTTTATTCTCTGGAACGGTTTTTAATATTAATCTCAGCGCAACTGAGAAAACTGAGGTAAATACACTAAATTTGCACTACACACTATTACACTATACTTAAAACACAATGTGTATGACGGTATAGGCGATATCAAAAGGAATATTAGGTATTAAATATCTTTTACTCACTACGTGTGAGGGGACGACGAAGAGAGTTTGTAGAAACTGCTACACCACTCTCAGATAGTTCTATATGTAGTACTACGTAAACTTTGTTACTCCTTAAAGTAGGAAAAAAACTATTTATGCCTTTATTAGGCGAAAATGAGAAATTTGGACGCAAACTGCAGTCCGAACACAGCCAAATCTATGCAATAACTGCGCATTATATTTATTTTGTATCTTGAGATAAGAATAAATTTAGAAAAAAAAACTTTTTGAAAACAAGCTTTTATAAAATGGACTAAAACGCATAAAATAATTTTTGAGTGTTCTGATATCATAATAATAAAAGCGATGGGCGTATTAAAGGACCGCTTTTGTTTAGCCTTGTTAACTCGAAGTTTAGTGAAAATCCAAATTCATTATATTATAGCAGAGAAATGTAAGGGTAAACAATTTAACCCAACCCAACCCAACCCTACTCAAGCTACCCTTACATTTTTCTGATATGGATGGACCTTATTACGCCTGCTTCATATTAGGCAGATCATCCACGACTGGCAGTGTGTCGATTTATTTTGTCACATTGAAAAAGAAGAGTCGGCCCATTATCGGTTGTGGACGATCCACCAAATGCGCATGGAAAGGCATTTACCTAATATTAAATACGCCCATCGCTTTTATTATTATGATATCAGAACACTCAAAAATTATTTTATGCTTTTTAGTCCATTTTATAAAAGCTTGTTTTCAAAAAGTTTTTTTT